AACTCCTGACTTCGTGATCTGCCCGCCTCGGCCTTCCAGACTGCTGAGCCACTGAGCCCAGCCACTATTGTTAATAGTTTAATACCTTGTTCTATCCATTTATACATGTAGACATGTTTTTTGGTGTTTTTTTAAACATGGAAGAGAGTAACTGCTAATTATTTGTTCAGTGTTCTTCCTCCTCTTATTTATAAACATCTGCAGCCTCTTTCAAATTCAGTGTATACAGATCTACCTCAACTTTTTATTTTAATAGGTAAATTTAGATCATTTATATTTATTATTATGATAAATACTTGGTTTTAGTTTTTATTGATTCTGTAGATTAATTGTTCACATTTAACTGTTTTACATTTACTTTGAGTAAATAGTTTGACTTACATACTTACCATAAAGTTGATGTTTCAACCTTATGATCAATTTATAGAATATAACCTCATTATAATCTGAGAAACACTTAGACTTACAGTGGTTCCAAGTTACAATTTTTCAACCTTACAGTGGGTTCACTGGAGTTTTAAGTACATTTTTAACTTAACAATGTTTTCTATTTACAATGGGGTTTATCAGGATGTAACCATATTGTAAGCCGACAAGTGTCTGTGTTTAACATGTGGTATATCACAATAGCTAAGAGAACAGACTCAAGAGCCAATTTGGGTCAACTTCTTACTATAAGACTTCCAACAAGTTACTTAGCCTTTCTGTAATTCATCTGTAAACTGGGGGTATTCATAATGCTTATCTCAAATAATTGGTATGTGATTTAAGTTAGAATATATAAGGTACTTAAACAGCTCTTTGAAAATATAAGTGCTATACCTACTATAGAATCAGGGTTTTAAGTCTTTGTCAGATTTATAGCAAAAAGCTTCTACCATTCCATTAATTTTAAAAATTATATTTACATGCATTCTGTATGCTTAAATGTTTATATAATCAAATCCATCTCGTCACATCAGTAGAACTCCTCAATACACTGTAAAAGTATTCAAATTTAGTTCTTTAAAATATTAAATTCCTTTTTCTCATTGGAGGTCATTATAAAATAGAGTATTTTTCTTCTCTTTAGTAACCATTTTTCCAGAAACATTTTCTCTCTACTGCTTTCTAATTCCTATTTTTTAAATCTAGAAATCTATGAATACATCCAGCTACTGTGTACCCACAAAATTTTCAACAGTAAAACCTTTAAAACTCTAGAAATATTTTATAAACTTGGATTGTTATAAATCTACTTTCTGTTTTAAGTATTTTTCAAATAGTTCTACAACTACAGCTGTCGTTTTTATGTTTAAAATTCTACAATGACTTTTATATTTTATATTATACAATTTACATCATGATTTATAAAATATTCCATTGGCAATGTATTTATTTGAGTGTTCAATGTACAAAAGTAATATGTTTTTGGCAGAACTAAGGCAATATAAAAATAAACAGAGTAAAGTGGAGAAGCTTCTCTTCATCACTTCTTCCTTTCCTCCCTTCCTTCCTTCCCCTCCATCCACCCCCAACCCCCACCCTCCAAGACAGAGTCTTGCTCTGTCACCAGGCTGGAGTGCAGTGGCATGATTCGGCTCACTGCAGCCTCTACCTCCCAGGTTCAAGCAATTCTACTGCCTCAGCCTGCCAAGCAGCTGGGACTACAGGCATGCTTCGCCACGCCCGGCTAATTTTTTGTGTTGTCAGTAGTGACAGGGTTTCACCATGTTGGCCAGGATGGTCTCAATCTCTTGACCTTGTGATCCACCCGCCTGGCCTCCCATAGTGCTGGGATTACAGGTGTGAGCCACCATGCTTATCCTACTTTTGTAATATTTTTTGAAAAGTATGTGCAATGGCTTAAATGTGTCCCTCATAGTTCCCATGTTGGAACATAATCTCCAATACAACAGTGTTGGGAGGTGGGTCCTAATAAGAAGTGATTAGGTTACGAGGGCTCTATCCTCATGGATGGATTAATGGTATTATTTTAGAAGTGAATTAGTTATCTAGAGGGTGGGCTTGCTATAAAAGTTCAGGCCGGGTGCAATGGCTTATGCCTGTAATCCCAACACTTCGGGAGGCCAAGGCTGGCAGATCACGAGGTGCAGAGATCGAGACCATCCTGGCTAAAACAGTGAAACTCCGCTTCTACTAAAAATACAAAAAGTTAGCCGGGTATGGTGGCGTGCACCTGTAGTCCCAGCTACTCCGGAGGCTGAGGCAGGAAAATAGCTTGAACCCAGGAGGCAGAGGTTGCAGTGAGCCTAGATCGTGCCGCCGCACTCCAGCATGGGCTACAGAGCGAGACTGTATCCAAAAAAAAAAGTGAGTTTAATTCTCTGTTGCTCTCTTATCATGTGATGCCTTCCACATGTTATGATGCAGCAAGAAGGTCCTCACCAAATGTTTACCCCTCAACCTTGGACTTCCAGCCTCCAGAATTTTAAGACGTAAATTTCTCTTCTTTATAAATTACCCAGCTTGTGTTATTCTCTTGTAGCAACACAAAACAGAGCAAGACAGTGTGTGTAGGTAAGTAAATAACATCAACAAGAAAAAGATCAGAAAGAGTAGAATCCATACTGTTAGCACTAGATATGCCTGAAAAGTAAAATTAGAAGTGATTGGAAAGGGGCCAGGTGCAGTAGCTCACGTATGTAATCCCAGGACTTTGAGAAGTCGACACAGATGGATCACCTGAGGTCAGGAGTTCGAGACCAGTCTGGCCAACACAGTGAAACCCCATCTTTACTAAAAACACAAAAATTATCCAGGCGTGGTGGCGATTACCTATAGTCCCTGCTATTTGGGAGGCTGAGACAGGAGAATTGCTTGAACCAAGGAGGCAGAGGTTGTAGTGAGCCAAGATCACACCACTGCACTCTAACCTGAGTAACAGAGCGAGACTCCATCTCAAAAAAAGTGATTAGAAGGGGATTATTTTCCCTATTTTTACTATGTATCCCTTTGTATTGAATTTAAAGATTTTACAGTGAGCATTTTTGAATTTAAAAACAAAGAAGAGTATGTAGTTATTTTTTCTTGCCTTTCCCTTATATGAATTATCTGTACTTGTGCTTGACCCACTGAGTAGATAATTTTCAGCAAATTTCATTGGAACATAGTAATGGATAGATTTCAAGAGTTAACATGATTTTAATGAGATTTGCAATTTAAAGACTGGTGCTCCTTGTCTTGCAGCACTTGGCTTAAATACATATAGTCTTTAACTTCTGATGGTTTGACTTATGATTGTTTTGACTTGACCATAGGTTTGTCAGGGTATTAAATGTATGTTCCACATATGATATTTTTTATTTATGATGGGTTTATTGGGATACAATCCCATTGTAGGTTCAGGAGCATCTGTATTACGTTTTTAGTACCTCTGAGGATTTTTTTTTTTTTTTTCGATTACCAAAAGAGCCTTCTAGTTGTTATCACATTGCCTTGTTTTATTTTATTATATTATCTTCTACTCTTATTTATTTTGATAGTTTTTTATTTTTAATTATTTTCCCTCCACTAAAATATGAGATTGATGAGAACAAGACCATTCCTTGGTCATTCTTGTGGCACAGGGCCTAAAATAATTATTGGAATATAATAAGTAGTTAATAAATATGTATAGAATGAAAGAAATGATACATATTCTTACAAGTTCAGGAACTTATGAAGCCACCCGGGGATGGTTCAGCTATGGTGAACTGCACTTAACACTGGATGGGTGATAATTTATAGGAGTCTAATAATACATTTATTTATTTGTAGTGGTAGACATAAATAGTATAATAACAAAACAGTATATGCAGTACATTTTTTCAAGCGTTACTATGCCAAAACCACACTTTTATCAAAGAGTCATTGAATAGCACACGGAAACTGAGAAAAAGAGAGACGGTGGTATTAAAAAAACACTTAATGCTATACTCTGGCTATAGGTTGTATTGCCTAACAAGTGCATTAGCTAGTAAATATTTGTCCTTGGTACTGAGAATTATGAGAGGCAACATGAATGACTTGGTTTTGCTGGTACAACCGTAAAAACAAGTTAAATGCCGCCCAGTTGATGGGGGATTACATTGTATACCTAGGCAAACAAAGAGGAATATTAAGTTGATCGTACAGCTTGTTAAAAAATGAAAAAGTAAAAATATATGATATAAGGGATGGTTTCAAAAAAAATCTGAAGCAATGGGTAAGTACTTCTTAAGCTCATTGATGCAAATGCAGATTTCCTAAGATCTGAGGGAAAAAATAAAACAATGAAAAAAAAGGGAAATGCAAATTTTTATTTTTCATTTATTTAAATGGAGTAAACCCTGAATCTGAATTAGGTTTTGCCCATAAATCAAAACCATGCCATTCAGTTTGACAAGATGGAGGTAGATACTTAAAAATCTTTAGAAATATTTGGGAAGATAGATAAATGGTATATAAGTAGTAGCAGTGATCAATTATTATTTTTCATTCACTGTAACATAGTAGAGGAGAGTGGAGTGTTATAGTTAGATCTTCAGCTGTGTTTCCCACTAGTTTTGTGACCTTGGGTAAATTATCTATACTCTCTGTGCCTCAGTTTTCTTGTCTGTATAATTGGGATAATAAATGCTTCCTCAAAATTGTTGGTAGCTTTAAGGAGAACCTGTGTGTGAGTTTGTAGTTCTTAAGATAGTGCTGCCTGGCAGATAATGCACTGCCACGTATTGTATCCCTTGCTATTGTTATCCAGCAAATAGGGGGTATTTATTTCAGCAACTGTACTGAGGATGGGAAGATCCTACCCTAGAGGAATTCACAGTTTAGGTTCGAGACTGTACATCTTCTCTATTTTCAACCCAGCTCTTTTTTTTTTTCCCCCAAATCTTGTATTTTGTTTCCAAAGGAATAAAATCAAGGATTTAGTCTCAATCTTTAATTTTACCTGATAGTCAAAGAAATGGTTAGAAAATTGACCTGCTCCCCTGAAAAAAGTAAAATATTTTAAAGCCATTTTAAATTTTGTTTTATAGATGCTTGTTTGCTACCGATGGGTGTGAGCAAGTTAGATATCCTATACCGGAGACTTCTCCTAACAAAACTTTTTATCAGAGGATGGGGAAGGCCAGAAGATCTCAAAAGGCAAGCAATTTTTTTCCTGAATACTTGTTCCAAATTTGTTGTTTTAATGAACATTTAAAACTTTGTTATAAAATCCCTTACTCTTAAATATAGAGCAATTATCCAGCAAATTAAACATTAAACTATGTAAAATGTGATTATTTTTTCTTTTGTCTTTTTAGTTATTTCTCTTAAATTTTAGCCAATATCATAAATTGTACTGTTATAAAAATAATTCAGATTTTTTTTTTTTTTTTTTTTTTTTTTTTTTGAGATGGAGTTTCACTCATGTTACCCAGGCTGGAGTGCAATGGCGTGATCTCGGCTCACCGCAACCTCCGCCTCCTGGGTTCAGGCAATTCTCCTGCCTCAGCCTCCTGAGTAGCTGGGATTACAGGCACGCGCCACCATGCCCAGCTAATTTTTTGTATTTTTAGTAGAGACGGGGTTTCACCATATTGACCAGGATAGTCTCGATCTCTTGACCTCGTGATCCACCCGCCTCGGCCTCCCAAAGTGCTGGGATTACAGGCTTGAGCCACCGCGCCCGGCCCAGATTTTTTAAATAGAGAGCTCTCAGAAACACAGACTAGATTTTTGACTTCAGTAATTATTAAGCCGATTAGAGTTGTATGTAGTTTCCAAGGATTGAGTCTTTTGGGGTAACCTGAATTTGTAATGGCTCTAAAACTGGATTACACTGTAGCTCATGGGAAAATCTGGACTTAAGAAAATGAATTTTCATCCAGGAACTGTGACTGATGCCTGTAATCCCAGCACTTTGGGAGGCTGAGGTGGGCGGATCACGAAGTCAGGAGTTCAAGACCAGCCTGGCCAACATGGTGAAACCCTGTCTCTACTAAAAATACAAAAATTAGCCAAGCACGGTGGCACATGCCTACTCGGGAGGTTGAGGCAGGAGAATTGCTTGAGCCCAGGAGGCAGAGGTTGTAGTGAGCTGAGATCACACCACTGCACTCTAGCCTGGGTGGCAGACCAAGGCTCTGTCTCCAGGGGAAAAAAAAAAAGAAAATGAATTTCAGGATTGGTGCCTTTAATTTTAAGGCTTATATATATATATATATATTAATTACTTTCTGAACAATATTGTGCCTCATATTTTTCTGAAAAAGAAAAAAGGGGTCCAGTTTGGGGGGAAAACAGCCTAATCTCTTTCTTTAATGATCAAAATTAAATTTTAATATGGCTTATGAACTGGATTTGCCAATTTTTAATTCCTGTTAATCTCAATTATAATATGCCTAGTAAGTGATATAAAAGGTGAATTTTTTCCTTTTTGTCTTCTTTCCCATAATAGACTCTTTGAATTCAGAAAGATGATTGGAAATCGAGAGAGATGCCAGAATCTGGTTTCAAGCGATTATCCAGTACACATTGATAAGGTATTCAAATGAGAGAAACACAGTTACAGGAATTGTGGTTTGACATAAATATGTCCAAGAATAGATTACATGTTGGAGTATAACAACAATAAACACTGAAATATAAGTGCAGTATGGATTTTTCATTTCAAATGTTTAGAACATTTTTGTGGGCCAGGCACACTGGCTCACACCTGTAATCCCAGCGCTTTTGGAGGCCAAGGCGGCTGGATCACCCGAGGTCAGGAGTTTGAGACCAGCCTGACCAACATGGAGAAACCCCATCTCTACTAAAAAAAAAAAAAAATACAAAATTAGCCAGGCTTAGTGGTGCATGCCTATAATCCCAGCTACTTGGGAGGCTGAGGTAGAAGAATGGCTTGAACCTAGAGGCAGAGGTTGTGGTGAATGGAGATGGCACCATTGCACTCCAGCCTGGGCAACAAGAGTGAAATTCGAAATCGTTTTTCCTTCCTTCCTTCCCTCCTTCCCTCCTTCCTTCCTTCCTTCCTTCCTTCCTTCCTTCCTTCCTTCCTTCCTTCCT